CGCTTCCAGAACGCCATGTAGGATGGACCGTAAGAGATCAGCCTGCTCAAAGATATGTTTCGCTGCCACCCATGCAGTCCATGGAGAAAGTCCCCACAGCGGTGCGTTCGATCTATAATGATCCTTCGCAATGAGATGGATCCAGCCCCGACAAAGATAGGAAAAAGGAAAAGGTGAGCGATAGGGTATAGTGAAAAGACGCAATCCTTCGTCTCGGATTCGTCAAAACAATGGAGTAGAGTAACACAAGGAAAAATGGCCAAGTCATCAGCGGGGCCCACGCGGTCTCACACCAGCTTCTGTTGCGCTCCTCACTCTGATAGCAGGACGCCGTATCTCTGGTGTATCAGCCATCGCGGCATCATAGCTCGGAACAGGTGGACTTCTTTCCCCAGACTGCTGCTGGTTCTGTAGAAGCGGTGCTCGCTCGTCCCAGTATCCGTTTCGTTCGTGGTCGGCCGTGTTGCGCAGGTTGGGCGACCCAACAGGACTACTGTATTCGGGAGGGAGTTCGCCTGGTGACAGGAGACCAAGACCCTGGCGTTGGTCTACGGGGATTGTGGTTGTCGCGTGATCGTCATGGCTCGCCCCTTCACCGACATCTTCGTTAGAATCGACCAGACTAAGGGCGGCTAATGAGATGTCGGTTGGACTGCGCTGCGGGCCGGGGCTCGTTGGTACCTGGCGTCCGAGACGCATTTGCTGGCTGCTGGAACGGCCGTGGCCAAAACCGGCTTGGATGTAGCTTCCGCCCATGCCTTCTCTTATGCCCTCGCGACCAGAGTCGAGAAGTATGGATCCTTGTTCGCTGCCGTAGGGAGGTGGGGGTGCGAGGCTGCCGGTTTGAGGGGCTAGACCCCATTTCTTGACGTTGGCTTCGATGAAGACGAAGCCCATTTGGCCGAAGTTTACGTGCACCTGGCATGGGCCGTTTGCGCCGACGGTGGGGAAGAAGTTTTGTGTTTTGAGACCGTGGGCGACGTCGTCAAGTTTTTTTCCGTTTCGTGTGAAGAAGATTGTTCCTGTTCGAGGTCTGTATCCAACACCAATTACATCTCCTTGCACGTAAGATGGGCCGTAAGCGGAGGGTTGGAAGGGCTGGTTGTATCGGCGGTTTCCGTTGGACATGTACGATATCGAGGCTTTGTGGTATCCTGATAAATGTTAGTAAAAGAGTGAAAGGTAGGACGTCGTCTTAGACATACCTGGTAGTCTGAACAACGGGTACGGCTTCGTTGTGACGCCAATCGCAATGCTAGTGTTCTCGGGCTTCTCGTAGACCTTGGCTTCCCAGTAGTAGACTTCATTTTGTTTTGGTATTGGGAGGTTGCTCTGGACGCTGCACTCCGAATCGAAGAACTCAATTTCCGTGCGACCTTCGACAAAGCAGTTGGCAATCTCCAGTTCGGGCTCAAATTCCCAGGCAGACACTCCCTTCTCTTGTATGGCCAAGAATTGCGATAGTGATATGTCGGTTTGAACGGACTCGGGCGGGTTTGCTTGCACAAAGGCTGTCGAGGTTAGCTGGTGTTCCTACTGCACGATAAGCTGCCTGGCATACCTTTCGCTCTCATGTACTCTGTTCTTTGCAGGTCGTCCATATCCTCTAGCGCCTCGGCCTCCTCCTTGGCAAATTGTTGCTCGTCGTCATATTCACCCGGCCGCGTTATCCGGTCGAGGAAGATGCGCCCTGTGTTGGTGTAGCGGAAGTAGTAAACAATGGCGGCAATGATAAGACATACGCCCGCAGCGCCCAGCACGGAGAATATGCCTATCATGATGCCCTTGGCCGTCGAGCCGAGAGTGTTGTTGTATCTCGATATCCGCACGTCATCGAGCTGTGAGGCCGGTTGTCCGGTAAGGATGGTGGCATGCGCAAAGGGCGCATTGCCGGTCGGGTAGTAGGATCTGGACAGAGTCGTGTGCGGCGGGCCCGCTTGCAGCGGTTCTTGAGGCAGCATGATCGAGTGCTATGGGGGTTGCGACTCGGTGAGGGCGGGTGCGATGGGCGCAGCAGCGCTCGTTCCGGGATGAAGTCGTCCAGTGGAGTCGCTGGACGGATCAGTGGGGGCCGGTAACCACTCGTTGATGTGCCGCGGCGGATGGCTGGCAGAGCTGGCGACAGGGCAGCGACGCGATGGGGCGTGGTGAAGGTGCGAATTGCCGTCGGTAGCAGTGCGCCGTCGTGGGTGAGGGTGAAGGAAAGGCGTCGAAGTGTGATGATGGATTGGCGTGATTGTGAGATCGGCGTGAGACGTCAAGTGCCTGACGCAGCTTGGCTTGGAATCGCGCGGCGCTTTGCCACCTCCGCCTGCACACGACACTCTGAGCCCCCGGTCCTGGATTCTGCCGATCTACCCGTCACGTTACAGATTCGCCGCGAAACACCACACTTGGGAAAATCAATACTTTCGTAGGCTTCAACGGCGTCCCTTAGCATTGCGCTGGCTCCCTTCGCCGTCTTGAAGCGGTAATCTCGACCATGGTAGTCGTCGCGCAGCAATCCAGACCGAAAAACCAACTCAGACTTGCATGGCCACGACATCATGCGTGCATTACTCTTCTAGAAGGCTGCGAGCCTTTCTACGACACAACAGAAATTGCTGTACTTGCATCACCCTCGGTTCTGGTCCCTCGCAAAAAGTAGACATATCGCTAATCCAGACATGCCAGAATAGACAGGCCAAATTTAGCCCTTGACGCGATTGCTTTTGTTCAAGCGCGGGGAAATGCTTCTGAGGCACTTGATCCACTGGCGAACCCATGTCGTACAGTCCTGAAACACCAACATAGCAGAGCCGCCTTCAAAGGCGCTTCAGCAGCTAGTGTCTGTGCCTGATATCGGCAAGCCCTATCAATATCTCGTTACCGCATACATAGCAAGCGAAGTGCTCTTTTGAGCTCGTCTTGATGTCTTGAAGTTGGCAATATGGTTCATCCTTTTTCATCACGCAAGGGGACTTCTTTGAGTCGCGACGACTTCATAGCCTGTTGACATCATGTTGTGTTAAATGGCCGATTGCACTGGAATTTGTCCCGCGCTTCTATCACACACAGCCTGGACATCAGTCTTGCGTCATTCTACGGATAGGATGCCTACCCGCTCGCCATTGACGTCAATGATGTCAAAGCTCATACCCTGAGTAATCGATAGCGGCTCCAATACGTTAACGAAGAAGAAGCAAAAGTACCCATGAGTTGTCGAATAAGGCGTATTATACATGACTTGATAGCTTGAATGATGCAGTTGGAAGATTGATGACAGACCATGCTCTCTCAAGGGAGGCGTAAATTCAGTGATGACTTCGTGCATGACCCAAAGGAGAGAAGTCACTTAGGTAGTGTCGATTATTGTCAGATGACATCGAACAACAATACATTCGCGCAGACATTTGTTCGGAATGGTGTAGCTTGAACCTGCATCAAGTTGCACGGGAACTCAGTAGTAGACAACTGTCCGTGGGGGTATTTATGGGTGTGATATTCTGACTTCACAGACGGCGCATGCAGACGCGGCTCATCGACATAGGCTGCGGGTAGTTCAAGTCTGATACAAACCCTCGTCCTTTGACATCAATTGAGGATGCTGAGGTCCTAGCGACGTGGTCTTCTTTTTGGACCAGGTGTATTGCTTTCGTCTTGCTGGCAGCCATGGGGCAGTCGCCCTTGTGTAACTGGAAGGAGGCTCAACTGTACTATCATCATAACACAAGGCCCAATATGTCCATGTCATGGTACACGCGAATCACGCAAGCACCCAAGTGAGCAATGGATGCTATTCGGAATCAGGTCTGTACCTTGCTTACGGTGGGTCATTGACCATCACAATGTGACTTCTGTTGTCGGCGCCTTCTGGCTCTTGACGACTGGCTCATATTGTCGACGTCTTGCTGGCACATGGGCTGTGCTGTACCTTGAGCGTGGAGAAATGTATCTCGTAGACGGGTAGTATATTGCGTGACTGAGAGAAATGACTGCGCCTTGGCGTTCTTGATGTTTTTGAGACTTCCTCACGGGGTCTCCGGAAGTGAGGTCGAGAAGTAAGGGTCTTGAGCTAGTAAAGTGAGACGACCTTGGAACAGGAAGGAGCGATGGCGATGCACGTGATTTCCCTGAAGCACTCACATGACTTTTTAGGTGCTGCCCGGACGTCAATTCTCGACTGACGCGATACCGGACGGCGTTATTGAAGCAGGAGCACGATGCAGGTGCTGCGGTACGACGTGTGCTAAAAGCACCGACTTGTACAACAGACGGCTGATGACAGGTGCTGTTTTCGACTACCGCGCAGTATCGACCATTTACATACCGTGTGAATGATGAGGCGCGATGAGGGCGACTTTGTTTGTTGGCGTGGAAGAGCTGGGGAATGTCTTGCACGCGTCTCGCAGTCACGTCGCCCTTTTCTACCGAGCCCGCCCGACTTGGGCGGTCGCAAGCAGGCCCATCACCCCAGCAGACGCGCACTCACTGAGATTACGACCGCGCCCGCTTTATACCGCCCCTGAAGCTCACCGTCTCGGCCTTGGTAAAGGCTGACTGCGCTCGCATCCTCGACTCAGTCGCACGGCAGCTGCTCCTTCCTAGCTCACCGCCCGCTGCGCATAATTGGGTCGCAAGCAGAACCCACTGCACGTTACGGGCTCCCTCGTCATTCTCGAGCAAACTTGTTGCACTACACGCAAAATATTACAGCGAGGAAATAATTTGTCGGCCGCTAGAAAAAACATGTTCGTCGCCTTGTAGCCCGCCCTATTGTCTGTTTCGCGTCAAAGGCTGGTGAGCACTGCCCCTCATTGTTCATTCGCCCATGGCTTTCCCCATCAGAGCTAACCATGAAGCGTACCAGCAGAACAAGCTTAAGTCGCCAGGGTCTACTCTTTTTTCCGCCTGCTTCACCTCCGCAGCGCAGCCCTGCTTTTCCGCACATACCCAATTCGAGGGTGCTACTAGACTCTCGCACACACCTTCCCCGCACTGCGAAGTAATCCACCGCAAATATGGCGTGGCAACCCCAAGAGGAGCCCCTGCGACAGCTGGCGCAGTGTCTGAGGGACTCGCTGAGCGGCCATGATCAGAATGCGCGCAAGAATGCCGGAGAGGTTCGTTTGTCCCTGCTATGCATCGCATTGCTGCAATGTGCTGACCGCGGCGACCACACAGATGCTCAAGTCGGCCCAAACTTCTCCTGATATCGACAAGTACCTCGCCTACATCTTCTCCAGCAGCCAGCCCCCGTCCGTCGTGAACATGGACGCCTCTCAATACTTCCAGACGCGCGCTGCCGCTGCCGTTATGCTCAAGAACGACATCAAGACCGGCTACAAATCGATGCCCGACTCCACCAAGGACTACATACGATCAGTGATACTTGCGGGATTGCAAGACTCGACTACGCAAATACGGGGCTACGCGGGAAATGTCATAACGGAGATTGTGCGCCAGGGCTCTATTATGGGCTGGCCACAGATTCTCTCAGAGCTGGTCGGCATGGTCAGCAACGCCGACGGCAGTGTCTCGACACAGGCGCAAGAAGGCGCCATGGGCGCGCTGCTCAAGATCTGTGAGGACAACAGGAAGGCTCTGGACCGAGACTACCAAGGACAAAAGCCCCTTAACTTCCTCTTTCCCCAGCTGCTCGAACTCACAACAAGCCCCCAGCCCCGAGTACGCGCCGACGCATTGGCCGCTATCAACGTATTCGTCCCAGAGAAGCCCCAGGCCGTCGTCGCGAACATCGACATGCTCATGCAGCAGCTTTTTAAACTAGCCACTGACCCCAGCGAAGACGTGCGGAAACACGTCTGCCGAACCTTCGTCCACATAGCCGACATCGCTCCTCAGATGATAATACCACATATGGAGGGTCTGGTCGAATTCATGGTCGCACAGCAGCGCACTGAGAACAATGCAGACCTGGCTTTGGACGCGGCCGAGTTCTGGCTGTGTGCCAGTGAGGATGAGAAGATGAGGGACCACCTTGGACCATATCTGGCCAAGATAATACCTGTATTACTATCTAGCATGGTGTACAGCGAAGACGAGATCCTCCGTCTAGAGGGTGAAGAGGAGGACTATGAGCAGGAGGATCGGGAACAAGACATCAAACCTCAGTTCGCATCAAGCAAGGCCGCGCGACTTACCACAAACGCGAACGGCGAGACGGTCCCAGGCTCGAATGGAGCCGGATTACCCACAGGCGATGACGATGGTCTCAGCGACGGCGAGATTGACGACTTTGACGACGATGACGAGTTCGGCGACCCCGAGGAGATGTGGAACCTTCGAAAGTGCTCCGCTGCGGCCCTTGATGTCCTCGCATCCGTCTTCCACGAGGCCGTATTCCAGGCGACTCTTCCATACCTCACAGACAACCTTAACCACGCTGAATGGCCCAACCGGGAGTCCGCAGTTCTGGCTCTTGGCGCTATTGCGGATGGCTGCATGGAAGTTGTGGAGCCGCATCTTCCCATGCTCACTCCATTCCTCCTAACCCTCCTGAACGACCCGAAGCCTGTTGTGCGCCAAATCACATGCTGGACTCTCGGTCGCTACTCGGGATGGGCTGCGCATCTTGACGGGGCTGGCAAGAAGCAGTTCTTCGAACCAATGATGGAGGGCATTCTGGTGAAGATGCTCGACACCAACAAGCGCGTCCAGGAAGCTGCGGCGTCAGCCTTTGCAAATCTCGAGGAGAAGGCCAACGTTGAGCTAACCCTATACTGTCCCGTCATTGTCAAGCAGTTCGTACAGTGCTTTGCTATGTACAAGGACCGGAACATGTTCATCCTTTACGACTGCGTTCAGACACTGGCCGAACACGTCGGACCTGCACTGGCAGACGACTCGCTCGTCCAGACACTTATGCCCGCGCTCATTCAACGATGGAACAAGGTGTCAGACCAATCGAGAGAAATGTTCCCATTGCTGGAGTGCCTCTCATATGTTGCCACGGCTCTCGGACCCAAATTCGCGCCATACGCAGCTGGCATATTCGCCAGGTGCATGAAGATCATCCACCGCAACCTCGAAGAAGGTCAAATGGCGGCTGAGATTCAAGGTTTCGAGCCTCCGGACAAAGACTTTTTGGTAACAAGCCTTGACTTGCTCAGCGCCATCATCCAAGCCCTCAACTCCCAGGACAGCGCGACACTAGTCACACAAGCACCAAACTTCTTCAACCTACTAGTTGTCTGCATGCGGGACCCAAACAACGACGTGCGACAGTCTGCATACGCACTTCTCGGAGACTGCGCCATCTACGTCTTCCAACAACTCCAGCCCCATCTGCGAGACGTATTGACCACCCTCATCACACAGTTAGACGTTTCGCGGATAGATTCTAACAGTCTCGACACTGGATACTCAGTCATTAACAACGCCTGCTGGTCCGCCGGCGAGATTGCCATGTGCCACAAAGAAGGCATGGAGCCCTATGTTGAGCAGTTGCTCCAGAAGCTGGGTAATATCCTCTTTGACGAGCGCGTGCCAGAATCCTTGAACGAGAACGCAGCCATTGCTCTCGGTCGTCTAGGTCTTGGTAGCGCGCCCTTACTCGCCCCCCATCTCGCTCAAATCGCCCCTCCTTTCCTCCGCGCTATTAGGAAAGTGCAATGGACGGATGAGAAGTGCCACGCACTTACTGGGTTTATGTTGATCGTTCTGGCCAACCCGGGAGCCATGGAGCAATCTCTCCTGGAGTTCTTCAGCGATATGTCACAGGCTGATCGGAATGTTGTACGCGGTCCTACGGCTGGTCGTCAGGTGCAGGAGACGTTCCAGAAGGTGAGATCACATCCATGCTTGATTGCGAAGAGTACATTTAGCTAACACTATAACCAGGTCATCCAACAATACAAAGGCATGATCGGCAACTTCGACGCCTTCATCGGAGGCCTGCCTTCCGAGCAGCAGGCTCGCTTCCGCGAGTTGTACTCCGTCTGAGTACAAACAAAATCCGTATCAACTTCCGATATCATCATTTCCCACATGTGTGTGTGCTACCGCGGGCGTTGAATAAGGGGGACAAGGGCATGTCTGGTCTGGATCTCAGCTTAGAGGAAGAGGTGGAACATACCGGAAATACCAGATAAGAGGAGGAAATGGGACTAGTGATAGCATTTTCGGCAGGCAAATAGGGCGGGGTGGCGGGTGAATATCTATATAGAACATGTGTGTCTTTACCTTTTTTTCTTTCTCCAGCGAGCGAAGAGCGTAGCCTTTGAATTCACGTATGAGTAAAGAGGCGATGATATATGCGCACGACCCATTTCCAAGGCGTTTTGTTTTTTGAGCGGATGTAGGTAGTATAGTAGGTAGTCTTAGTTTAGCTTAGTATTAGTTCAAGTTCTCCGTTTCTCTTCCTAGGTACAACAATGCGTCTATCGACATCATGTTGGCATGCTAACGCAGCATCCTCTTTAGCACGCGCAACTGTGTGTTGTTGCTAGTGCTCGACCAAGTTGTACATAGCTCTTACGCGTTCTCTCCACCTATCTCCACGGCAAAAAGCAGTGTAGCGAGGAGCGCAATCACTTTACTCCCAGCTCCTGCTCAACTCTTCACGATCCAGCCACGTCGCCTCCATCGCTCAAGCCGCTTCCACTCCGTCCTCGCTTACCACCACATCACTATGCGCAACGAGCAGCAAAAAAAGATGGCCAAAAAGAAGGTTCAAATGGCAAAAACATACAACAGCGGGGATTCGCTAGTGGTCACCCACCTAACTACTAATCCGCCGGTACACTGCTTGTATATGGCTGAGCGGACGGGAAGCCTAATTCTCAGTGTCCTATGGTCGTATGTGAAGGAACGAGGAATCAGAATGTACATAATGTAGTGGTTTGGAGTCGAGCTGCTCGAATGAACGCCGGTTCCGGAAGTTGCCTAAGCGAGAGAGGCAATCGACTTGTCAGCAGTAACGCGACGCGACGCAACTCAACTTTCACCTTTGCGCGAGACTACGACGGACGACTTCTTCGTGGGGATTCTAGGTTTTGAGTTTGCGATCAGCGTAGCTCACGTAATCGGGCGTGGCGCACGATAACTTGCGTGGGCGTTGGCTGCGACATGGCGCAGCCTGGAACCACACCGGAACCACCCAACTCAGTCTCACGTTCAGCTCGCAATAGCTCCGCATCTCTTCGCCGCGCTGCGATCATTGAAGCGAGGGCTCATGTCTCTAGAGGTTTGTGTATGTGCTTACTTTCGGTTGGGTGTATTGACTTCCAGGAATGTTAACTCCTACGAACAGCTGAGTCGGTATGAAGTTTGCTAGTGGATTGGGGTGTGGCATTCGTTGCATACTACCATGATCACCTTTCGCTAATCCATCGCCAGAGAAATCACGAATGGGGCTTCTTCTCGATACAGCTCTTCTGCATGGACACCTGGGCATCATGCTCCTAGCCTGGGCGATTGGCATTGCCGTAATGTGGTGGCGCACCCACACCATCATGCTTAAGCGGGGCCGAAACTCTGTCGCTGGCACGCACGAAGCTGTGCTTGAGCTCGCGGCGGCAATGACAAGAGAGCTTGACGTGTACGTCGTCGACCACAAGACTACCTCTGAAGAGCAGGTACAAGAGCGCATTACTGAAGTGCATGGAGAACGCATCTCGTATGATTCTTCACTTCTCATGGTGATAACACTGCCCAGTGGATGAATGCGGTAAGGTAAGATGACGAACGGGCTGCAGGTTCCTTCAGCCACTCAGCTGACCAGTTCAGCTGCCTTGATTACATGGCGTGTTAATATGAGGTCACGCACTTCTCCAAGGCTATGCTTATCGGACTATCTCAAACTTGCTCTTCACATCTTTGCGATAGAACTGGATACGCACACACAATGTGGAAACTTATACTGCAATCCTGTTTTCGCGGCTCTAGAGCCCCCGAGACCGATATATCCTCAAACGACGTTACCATAACCAAGGAAGAACCGAGATTGATAAACCCGGAGCTTTTCCCCGAAGGCATATGCACCAACTGCCAAAAATTTACACTCCACAATCTGTTGGAGACGGAGAATGGCCCAGAAAGGCTCTTGTGGGTACGTTACGATCGAAACATGGTCACAGAATGTCCCATGTGCAAGATGATTTTTGCGTCTACCAATTCAGAGAATGTTTTTCCCAGGAACATTGATATCGGTTGGGCACTCGATTACAGCAAGCTGGAGACCGACAGAGGTTCCGAATTACGAGTATATCGAGTTTTCTGTGAACATTTTCGTGGATTCGGTACGCGCAGATTGCATTCGGAGCAGTTTCGGATTCGGATTTATGCGGACCGAGGTACGCAGCTCAATACTTTACATCCTGCGCGTTGCTGCCAGATCTGATACTGATAGGTTCATATGCTTCAAAGTTTGTACCAGCTTTGCGTGCACCATCTTCTAATCTCTCGGCTGCTACCTTCCAGACAATTTCTCGTTGGATTGAGGAGTGCGACGAAACACACCTAAGTTGTTGGAGCCGTTCTTCGCAGTTCTCTGAGGCAGAGATGCGATGCCTACCTACCAGAGTAATCCATGTTGGCTCAGCAACTCGACATCCACATCTTCACATATCTCAGGCACACCAGAGTGATCGATACATCGCCTTGAGCCACTGTTGGGGGAAAACTCCACAAGTCAGAACGTTGAATGAGAACATCGAACTTTTCAGGGAGGAAATCATACTCGGCAGTCTTTCGAAAACATTTCAGGATGCAATTCACGTGGCAAGAAAGCTGGGTATTGAGTACATCTGGATTGATTCATTGTGTATCATACAAGACGACAAGATCGACTGGCTTCAGGAATCAGAACGCATGGGCGTCATTTATGCGAATGCCTATGTTACCATCGCTGCAACGTGGGCAAGTGATGGGAATGATGGGCTGGACAGCGTACGCCCTCTGTGTAGTTGGTTCAAATTTCCCTTTGATGGCTCCGATGAGGGAGATGGATACATGTGGTTCACCGATGGCTCGTGGAGAACTGAGACAGATCTTGACGATGCACCGCTGAACCAGCGTGGTTGGGTTCTTCAAGAGAAGACACTCTCGCATCGTATCATCCACTACGCTGCTTCACAAGTATACTGGGAATGCAAAGAGTATCTATTGGGAGAAGAATGTGAAGATGGAAGTCCTTTTCATGGTGAACCCCTGGAACCGTCGCTATTCTGGACCAAGGTAAACGCGATTTCTCACATTGGAGCAGCACCCATCGAGCGTAATAACGATTTACGCGACACAGGATTTCCAAGGTCGCCGCTTGAGGAGCTCTACGGAAGCTGGAGAACCTTTGTTCGCTACTACTGCACCAGAGTTTTCACCAAACAAAGTGATCGTTTGATAGCTTTGCTGGGTATCATCCGCGTCGTTGAGAAACGGACCGGGCTTCGTTGTGTCGATGGTCATTGGGATGATGGTTCATGGCAGTTCGTGCGCGAACTAACGTGGTTTTCTGAAGCACAAAGAACGCTGTCGGTACTTGACGGCGATAGGCGATCTAGGCTATGTTCGTCATGGTCGTGGGCATCCCTAGAAGGCCCAACAACATTTGTTTCCACGGATCGTCTTGTTGGTGCATGGGAAGACTACGGTCTGAAGGACTGTAACCTCCATCTCGAGGCGATAGAAGACGAAGTTCAAATCCCTTGGCCGTGTCATCCTCTGAAGGTTTCAGGAATGCTAAAACCCTTCCACAAATGCGAACCTGAAGGGGATCGAGGTCAGAATCAATCTCAGAGAAAAAGAAATTTCGTAATAAAGGCAGAACTATCGGGGCTTGCTGATGGGTGGGTTTGTTTCGACCGCGACGATGAAGAACCAGAGGACTTCCACTTTTGTCCTGTCTACGTTTGGAACTGGAGGATCGCATGCCTTGCTTTAGTTCAGAGACATGAACCAGAGGGCAGAGATCGTTGCTTTGAGCGTGTAGGCGTGGGCTATATCTGTCCCAGTGGCTCCGAATACGACAGTATGGAGTCGTTCGAGAGCTGTGAACGATCAACTTTCCACATAATATAGTCATCTCAGGTGGTAGAACATCAATGTTGAGCAAGAGCGCGAAAGGCGTGGAGCTTATAATCCAAAGTTCATTCTTCATCGACGGGAACTTAAGTTAATCATCCTAGCTTGAAGCAAACACGCATCACAAGAGTTATAATCAATCTCCTTATAGTCTTCTTCTCTTGTTCCTTTGTCTGCCCGTTTCTGACAGCGGAAAAGTAAGCAAACACACCCGTCGCACATGTCCAAAAGCCGGAGTCCTGTATAGTTGTATGCGCAAACAGATTACTAATGAAGTCTCTACATTGCCACCCGCGTCCTGGGAAGATGGCCCGCTCTCGCGCGCCTTCATTTTGCACGAACATGAGAGCAGAACAACCCTTGGCAGTCGATACTTATGCGCGCCCAAGAGATAGGTTGTCTACATGCTACTGGCGCAAATTCCACCTTTTGCTACAGCCTTGTCGCAAACGCGTATGAGTAAACGGCACACATTTTCGGATGAGGTATAAGCCAGCGTCATTCCTTCGTTCAACGCAAAGGCAAGGGTGTGCGGTGATGCAGAGTGGTTGGGTACTCGGCTCTGACTTAATGCGTTGGCAAGCCACTGAGGGGGGTACATACTGCATTCGCCGGATCAGGAGATGGTTTGACTCCGGAAGTCATCTCCAGGAATATATATGTATCTCAAGCGCGAGCTTGCGCTGAGCACAATTTTCCATTGATCTGATCACGCTAGCACAAACATACATACCCTTTTCGAACATCCAACATCAAGAAATTTCTCATTCTCCTCCCGAAGAAGAAGATCAAGGTGCGCTCCTCTAGCATTGTAACGCGTGACTAGCTAGCGAAGCTAACCCTCGTAGATGGCACCGTTCGCTGTCTCGCTCGTTTCGCCCATCAATTACTGTTCTTACAAGTATATGGAGGACGAAGATGGAAGAGAGTGGCACCTCAAGACAGATTGCAACAGCAAGACTTGCGATGAAAGCGCGAGCTACGAACCGCCCAAAACTCCACCGGAGACATTTCCGGAAGATCCCTAGTCTAGCAACAAGGGGAAATGAGGGGAAGGTTTCTTACATGTATGTCAGTTCGTCGGGTAGTCAGATATAAGTAGTACCTAATTCACGCATTTCACCGGGGCTCACATTGACATCCACTTCCTCAAACTCTCGCTGAGCGCCCAATACTACGCATCACGGTCGTACCACCAGTCTAACCGTCATCGTTCACTGATGACCACAAATGCACTCCGAGTCTCTACAAGCTCTTCCATCCTGACACAACGTCAACCGAGCAACAGCTCGCAAAGCCACCAACTGCTTATTACTCAATTTAGCACTGTGCTGATGCTGACAGTTTCCAAATTTCTCCAGATAAGAACACTTCCCCAGCAAATAGAACTGGTTGCAGAGCTTGCGACCTTTCACCGCCATGAAGTCTTTGGATGTGTAGGTCAGTGGTGAGTCCACACGTTCGCCGAATTTGTTAAGGAGTACTGTAGCAGCTGTGGTAGGCTGCTTGGTGACAGCGGGGCTCTGGGCTTTAGACGATGAAGATGAAGAAGGCCCTGTTGGGACCTGAGCAGCGGCCATCGCATAGTCTGTCGATGGTGTTCGCGGCGGAGTCGGGAGAGACACCGTTGCGCGCCTAGGGGTGACCACCAACATTTGGCTCCGAAAGACCTTTTCGAACGATACAGTGTGGTATCTGTCCTTGATCGCAGCTAACTCGCGGGCGAACGGAGGGCCTTCCAAGAGGGTGATACGGCTTCGTACTGCGTCGTCTTCGTTGTATGGGCCCAACAAGCGGGCATAGCCATTGTCGGCTGAGCCACCGAAGAGGATTTGCTGGCAGTGCATGTCCGCTAGGTCGTGCCGAAACATTGCTTTTGAGAGATGAGTGTTTGCGTGTGAAGACTGGGCGATGTATTGCGTACCTTTGATCTTCTCATCCGAACACTCTTTGCCGTTGCCAGCATCAACATAATCACACATGGGATCGCCCATGTTGAAACCACGCACGAACTCGTCAAACGACGCTACCTGCGGGACAATCTCCGCGTCTTTGTAGGTCTTGGCCAGACCCTTCATGTTCGCGTAAACACGAATGGTTATTTGAACATGTCGGGCTACATCAGGTAAAGATGATCGGAGTTCTCCATCAACAGCTTGTTTGAGTAATCCCGCTGCTCTCTTTCCACCTTCCAGCCCGGATTTCACAAGGTCATCGTTGAACTAGAGTAGTCATTAGGGAGGGTCGATGATTGCTGAGAGTGGACATACCGGCATACAATCACCATCAATCAAAACGGATGCGAAGGCATGTCGAGCCTTCTCATCCCGCAAAACTTGGATCTCCTTCTTGGCTTCTTCGATACGATCGCGTGTCAACTTGATCACGTCTTTTCGATCACGAAGTTCGTACTCAGCTTCTGATAACCGAGCAGAGAGATCGTTCACATATGTGAATAGATTCTGGATGGGAAGTAAGTGACTGAATGAACTTTAAGGGATGGCTTGCTTACCTTGATCAAAACATGCTTCTGATCATCGTTCGCCTGACATGTGTTCCACACATCTTGCAAGGACTCCAGCTGCACCTGCGGGTCCGACATCTTGCGCTCTCGAAACGTTGGAGACGCGAAATAGTCTCAATGATGAGACCCTTGCAGCAGAAAGGCTGGGAGAGAGCAGAAATAAATAAGGCTGGCAATGGCTGAGCTCACAGGTAAGTGCCTAGAGGCGCAGCACGATGCACGTTACACAGCGTTCGCCTCGTCGAATACTCTTCGAACGCATGACATTGCAGGCGCCAACGAACCGCTCATCCAATCGTTCGCATAGGCAGCACATGTGCATCCATCCTGATGTGCTGTAAGCCCTGGTCACATAGCCCCAGCGGCACGGTCCGGTGTATTGAATGTTGCCTCAGGCATCTTCTTCCGAGGAGAGCTTTGGAGTTGAGGAATTGGCGTGACGGTAGGCGCTCAATGTCATTGCGCAGTATGACTTGGCCGGACAGAAGAACTCGTGTATAGCAGATACGCCGCCACCAGCGCTTGCAACTAGTTCAGGTTGCGATAGATGCGATATCACGTCGCAACAATGCTAATGAGTGGCATAGATAATCACGTGGTCGCTAACCTTTACCACAGCCTAAGCTGAGACAGATTGTTTCGGGTACTCATGATCTCGCGATTGAATCATAGGAAGATTCTGATGTTGTATGACAGCGCGACATGCGCAATGAAAAGAAGGCTGAAGGTCGGTTCCCCACCCAGCGCCGCGGGATAGCTAACCAGGCAAATGATTTACCTTTGAAGGACCGATAACATTAAGATACTTCTTAGAAGAGTTCGGTCATGTGAGAAGACAAAATAGATGGAAGAGCACATGCGGATCTTGGGATAGCTATAGTGGATGATGATGCAGGTTATTGGGTGGTACAAACGCTGATCGGCACCGGTCTAGCCTCGGCGATAGCGTGAGCGGCTGGAGGACGATGGGATCACAGCAGTGGAGGAATGAGGCACAGGTCACAGCCGCTCAACACTTTCCCCTCAATCTCGGCCTCGTAGGGCGCGTAGGATTATAAGACCTCTCTGCCCCCATCTGCCATTGTTGGGCATCGATAGCACGCCCCGCTTCGCCAATCGCACGCAACACGGTACCACTACCATCACGCCCAACGTCCCGTACCGTCCGCCGTATCGCTTCGCCGCCCCACAAGCAGGCTAGCAGGCTATTTATCAGCAAGCGCCCGTCCGAAGTTGGACGAGATGGCCTCGCGCACTTCGACACCTTCGCGGTCGCGTTCCTCCTCCAACAGCAGCAGCTCTTCCGACACCACCATGATAGACGCGCCGCCGCAATCAGCGAGCCGCCCAGCGCGCCTCCGCAACTCCTCGCATTCGCGTAGCGCCGCACTCCCCACGCCCACAGCCTCTCAGATGCCGACCCACGAAGTTCTTCCCGACCCGTGCTTCTCACTGCTCTTGTCTCTGCCGAGAGAGCTCCGCGATCGCGTCTACACGTATGCCCTGGTTTCCAACACGCCGTTCCTGTGGCCTGGAGCCACGCACAAATCTGTGTACAGCAAACATCGCGACGTTAGCGTGAACCTTCTCCGGACGAACAGGCAGGTTCACGACGAGGCTGTCATTGTTTTGTATGCACAGAACAAGTTTCTATTCACACATCCCAGCGACTGCAACATCTTCTGCGTCGTCACGTCTCCCGCCTCTGCAAACATAACGAGCGTGTACATCCGCATAAAGGACAAGGACCTGCCATTATGGACGGCATATATGGGAAGCAAGAAGGCAGAGAGGAGCCTAAGAGCTGATCTGCCTAAGTTGAAGAGTCTCTGGGTATTCCTCAAATTGGGAATGTGTCCACACTTCATGTCAGGCGTACTGGCTGGGATACAACGCCCAATGCTCGGACCTCAACCAGCGGGACACCCACAGGCGATTCAGAATGCTGTGGGACATCAGATACACACCCTACAGCAACATGTCCAGAACGCCATAAACCAGGTTATGACTACCGCCGGCGTGCAAATCGTCGGTGGCACAGGCGGCCATGCGCATACTCCTGCCAACGCGAACCAAGTTCCGCCTCCGCCTCCACCGGCGCCCGCGATGCCGTTCCCGCAATTCATGCAAGGAGCGTTAGGCATCGGCGGCCATGGGGAGCATCAGCAACAAGCAATGCCAGCACCACACGCCCACGGCCAGCACAACCACCCACCGAATCCCAGTCCGCTAGCACAACACCTCCAAGCCCAGCAGGACAATCCCACCGTTCAAGTCATACACCCGCCCGCTCAACAAACCCCACCACCTACAACCCCCACAAACAGCACAGACCCCAACAAGCTCTACTCCGGCATGATCCGCTCCAACCGCTTCAAAGTCGTCACATCGCTCTGCCTCCAACTCCACGACGTTCTACACACTAAACCACCTCCGTCTGCGCTATCCCCCGTATCCTCCACTTCCATCACTCCCACCGAATCGTTCAGCACACGACTACGCGAATTACATCAAGTCGGCCCCGAGCGACCCACTGATAGAAATACTGTCGCTAACACCACATCCGCTAAGCCCTCCGGCTCCTCCAGCGACCGCAAGTCTTCCCTCCAAACAACGAAAACCGAGACCCTTCCACCGCCGCCCAACACGGAAATCAAGATTGTCACAATAGTACGACCGGGCAAGAGATTCGTCAAGAGGCTACTTGAGACTTTTCCGGATGAGCTCGAGGTTGATCCTGTGACGAAAGATGCCAGAACAAGGTTTAGGAAGATGCATGGGGTGGATGTTAGTTGGGAGTTTAATGGTTTGAGTGATATGGAGGCGAGCAGTGCGGGAGGGGTTGTGGTTCCTTGGGATGGGGGGTGGTGAGAGGATGGGATTGAAGAAGGGAAGGTTAAGACAAGATTGTTATGGTGGTTTGGACCTCGAGGGGATTATTAAGGCGCTGTATTTCGGCCAGGTGTTACAACTTTTCTCATCTCGGTAACAAGACCTGGCCTCGTTCATCAGACTTTCATATAGCAAAGCCCTAGCAGCGCAATACCCAAACCCTAAGCGTAAACATAGCAAAACGGCCCCCCAACCGTACTCATCGCCTCCCTAATCGTCACATTCCCAACCCCAACCCACTCCCCCAACGTAATAACATCCTCCAACGTCCCTGGCTCCCCCGGATCCCCCACCCCACTCGTCCCCCCCGCAATCGCCTCCCTCCTCCCCTCCAACTCCAAATTCTGCCACGTCCAATACACCCTATCAACCATAGCATGATGCGCAAAGAACGCAGGATCCGCAGGCGAATTGATGAAATCGGAACCTGCGTCACCGCCGATGGTGTTGTGGCCGCCGACATGGGGGCCCATTTTGCCTTGGACGAATTCGCCGCCGAGCACGGTTTGGAAAGAGGTTATGGTGGTGTTATCTTTGATTAGGGCGGCGACGACGGAGTCGCGGGTTTCGGCGGAGGATTGGAGCGAGATGTCGCGGGAGAGGCAGCGCGGGTTGTAGCCTAGGCCGTCGGGTGAAGGGTTTGGGGTCGGAGGGGGGAGGGAGACGGCGGCGAGGGGGCCGAGGTTGATCTTCCAGCTGGAGGGGGTGTTAGCGATGGGTGTTGGTGGAGTGAAGGGAGGTGGGAGGTGGGTAGTTACTCTTTGAAGGGACCGGATGTTACACAGCCGCCTCCACTTCCGGGTTGAAGCTGGATGTAGCACTGTTCGGTTGAGGGGAAGCAGACTGAAGTTCTGTTTGCGATGTATGCGCCGTCGCCTGACATGCTGGTGTCGCTGTCGTCGAAGAAGGGGGAGGCTTTTGGGTTGTTTGCCCAGTGGCCCCTTGATGTTGGCGTAGATGTCAGTATGGGTCTCATACGGGTCTTGATTGATTTTACATACCAATTGTAATAAGGCTGGTACCCTTTATAACCGCATTCATTCCGCAGCATCTGTTCAAAAGCCCAAGTATAGTATCGGTGCCATGTCAGGAAATTGGCCGTTCCGTGAATCGTGAACGCTTGCAGGATGTGGGTAACCACAAGGTCGTCATATCGGCTTTTGGCGCCTGAAGCAATGGCGGCGGGTGTTCTCGCTGGTAGCTTTGCTAGACATTTTACAGCTTTGATGTAGCTGCGCCTCTCGTGTTTACTCAAGGCTGACCTGGGGTATGTGAGCTGGAGCACAATGGGACGGTGTGCATCTCACTCACCAGTCTCGACGAACGGCTACTTTGTCCAGTGTGCATGTTCCTGGGCTCGGTAATGAGTTCTCTGAGTAGTAGGCCTGCATTCGATGTAGACTTTCGACAGCTAGGGAGTCTACTTCATTAGGTTTATCCTTGCTCTCTGCGCTGGCAGTACTGGCTAGAGCCGCTAGCAACACATGGAAGAGCTTCATGATGCTATAATGTGGGTGTATCTGCATTTATCTGGCCACAAGGGAGACCAAATTTATACTTTGAACCAAGAAACTTCAACAGACCAGACTGGTAAAGAAGGTGCCAAGTCGCAGACGTACCTACGCGAGAACGCGGATTCATATCACCGTCGCGTTCTCGAGTAATCGACATCACGTGGTCAGGGCGCTACCTGCCGCACAGCATTCTAGCCTTGAGTGTAGCCGTATTGATTGGTTTCCGGTACATGTACCCATACGCTATCTTTTGAAATCCTTCTCAACATGGGAGGATTCCCTGGGTATTACTCTAACCCCGGTCTTTTGACGCTGGCTCCGAGGACTCTTTAGGCGGAGCGCGAGCATCCTTCGCAGCGTGCCGCTAGCCGCAGTGCGGCGCTGAGTATGCATATCTGCAGTACTGCGATCTAGTCCTCATCCTCTCGGGATCCAGATTGATGTTGTTCTGTCGTTCCTTCTTCTCGTAGGCTAGCTCTTGAGGATGTCCGTGTGGTGTTGATTGAATGGTACTGGCGTCTTTAGAGAAACCGGAATACTTTTGTTTACTTCTATATTGAATTAATTGCTGGGAGAGCAGCGTTCGAAGGAATTATCGTGCAAGGTATCTGCGGCTTGTGAGCTTCTAAACGTGAAATCGCCCGTGTTCCATTGGGTCTAGCGCCTTGGCAACATGCACGGGGCATTCCTCCGATCCCGTCGCCACATGATATTCCGTTGCTACTTTCCTCCAGTAGCACGTCGACCCAGGAAGAGACAAAATACGTTTGCAGCCTACAGTAACACGAAAACGCGCAACTTAGGTAACCTAACGTCGATGTAGGCCCTAGGCCTGTTCAACTTTTTTCTTGTATGAGGTGGTAGTAAGGTCGAGACAGCGTCGCCCTTGGAACATTTACTTCGCGACAAATCCGATCTGTCTGCTTCTGGCCATGGCTGCGCATCCCAATGTTAGCAACGAGCGCTCTAGAAATAAGCAGACCCTCAGTCACATCCGTGGCACCATAACTGGATACTTTCGTGGATGAAGAAGAAAGGTCATGCGGCAGCAGATGTATGCCATTGGGCAACGGCGTGCTGACTGCATCTCGCGTGGCACAGCCCCCAAACCCGAGGATCTTGAACGCTCAGAATCCTGCAATAGCCTTGTGAGCTGTAGGCAACACTCCCTCATCACCATCTGACACTTCTGCACCTCATCACACAGCAACGCATCTTTCAACCTCGAATCTCACAGCAACCACATGGAGAGTGTTTACCGACCGCTCGTGGGCGACGAAGTCCGCTTCGTGAGGATTCAGCCTGGTGCCTGGACAGATCCCATCCGATGCGATCTGGTATATCTACCGCTGCCTAACGCTGAAGTCGACGTAGTGGAAGCATGGTTTTCGGGTAGACCGCTACCGAAATTACTACATCAAGAGTTGTATGACCCACGACCCTCGGGCACATCATCATCGCTAGGCGATCCAGGCGAAGCATCAACTGTGCAAATACCACCTTTCATTGCGTTGTCGTATGCGTGGGGGGCATCCAACTGCACGGAGGAATTACTTCTCGATGGTCAGCCAGCGCAAAGGACCATCAATCTCATCGCTGCTTTGCGACAATTAAGGGCCTTGCTTGGAGAACCTTCCCGCGCACCCGATATCTTTCGCAACAGTAGCACCCTGTTCTGGATCGATGCACTGTGCATCAATCAGTCAGATAATGCAGAAAAGTCGGCGCAGGTACCTCGGATGAGCACGATCTATGGAGCTGCAGAATTCGTGTTAGCATGGCTGGGAGAGAACGGAGAAGACGATACCGCGGTTCAGGTGTTCGTAAACCTAGTGAACACCAATGATCTCCAGGATCAAGATTGGACCCCTGCTAGTTACTCTCGCATTATCAACGCCCTGAACAGCACCGAACTTACCCATATCCTAGACGCCTACAAGAGCCTTTGTCGGCGGCCATGGTTCGAGAGAATATGGGTCATACAAGAGACAGTGATGTCACGCGACACCTGTGTTCTAGCAGGATCATGCTGGTGTGACTACGAGCACCTTACAAGTGCCTGCTTTGCTACATTCCAAAGTCATTGCCATGACCTTGTGATCGACGCACCTGAATTAATTGTGGAACGACCGCTAATTCACTTCATTATTGCTTTGGCCCTTCGGCAAACGATACAGTGTATCTTTGAGGAAAGATCTGCAACGAGATCAGGTTCTCTTCCTGTTGCATCTCAGAACGAGGTGGCAGATGGAGATTATGACCAATGCTTGTCCGAATCCAGTATTACAGACGAAGGCAGACCTGTACATTCAGCAAGTATCTTCAAAGATTGGACCAGTGATGCTGAAGATTTATGGGAAATGCCTGCGGTTGCGCAGGAATTCCTGAGAACCAAACTGCTTGCGTTTCTACTCAAAGCTGTGCTGTCCGTCATGTTTGCAAGATTTGAGGCTACAATCCCTCATGACTATCTTTACGGGATGATTTCCCTTAGTGGTATCATGATATTCCCCCGAAACCTTGCCCCGGACTACACATTGCCATTCGAGGATGTCTTTCATCAATACACTAGACTTATACTACGCCATACGGGAGATCTTACTATCATCCCTCGGAAGCGTCATGGACTCAAAGGAGTGCCCAGTTGGGTCCCAGATTATGGTTCATCGGAAATGTCCCTCAGGCCTCTTGGGGAAGCTACGTTGTCAGTGAATCGGGATGTAAGCGTCTCGGATGATGGCCGGGTTTGCTTCACGCGAGGGGCTCACTTAGGAGATGTAGTGCTGGTGCTTGACTACAGTTGCGGCGATGGGTCCAAAGAGGAACGCTCAAACGCCATCAATCGTTTTGACCACTTTTTGGAGCATTATTGCGAACAAACGCAGGTTGACAAGCATGATTTCGTAGGAGGAATCGTTTTTGAATCCAACTATTCAGGCCATTCTGAGTTTCACGAGAGCGAATTCCAAGGAGCCCCTGATGAAAACGCGTCTGCATTTGCATCTTCAGATACTCAAGGCAAAATGTCTAATGAAGACCTATGGATGAAAGTCACACGCACGATCGGAGATTACGTATGCTTCGCGACTTCACGAGGCCTCATAGTGTCTCTGGAAAGGGATGATGAACAGCCTATGGAGGGAGATGTACTAGTCCTATTGAAAGGAGCCAATCATCTCTGGCTGCTTCGTCCTATGGTAGGATCCAACACGGAGGAATACTCGTTCGTTGGCACTTGCGGAATACTTTACAGCAGTCCCCGGAGCAGCGGTATGGAGAACTGGCCTTCCAATCGATGGGCGGATGTTCCTGAGGAGATCCTAGGACATTTCTTTGAGTCCAATGACGTACGAGAGTTCCGCTTAGTATAGCACATCACATCGAGAAGCACCACAGTGTAACGTCTAGCGACTCCAAAACAAAGCATTGCAGTTCAAGCGCCTAAAGGCACCTCACTATCACCTTATACAAGAAAAACTAAGCAAGTCTGCAGACTACATTAAAGCGAAAACCTGTAAAGTGGTTGACCTAACGTCAACGTAGGCTCCAGGGTGTACATCTTTGCCCTAGGTTGCGTGCTACAGATCCAGAGTTTCGATATGATCAGACTGTGAAGCAAAGCACTCACAACGCAAATATGTCCCGACAGATAAATTACAGAGGTCCGACACATGGTTTCAGGCGGTTCCGTACTCAAAGATCGTCGCATTTACTCTTGTCTCATACACACAACCTCTCTTCCTCGAAGAAAGAAAAGAGAAAGTGTTGTGTGTATCCAGCTCGAAATCTGCTGATGGAACAGCGGATTGAGCGAGGCAAGAGACCGTTCTACTAGAAGTGCGCGCGTTTGGCTTCCCAGCTTCGCGTCGGCAGCGCGCATCGCTTCACGATTTGGTGAGGGTAGCGATGACGGTGGGCGTGTAGTAAGGTGTGCACGACATGAGTACACACACTTCACACGCGCGTGGTGATGGTGGCACCGGTTGTGGTTGGGGTAGGCGGAAGAAAGCGCGGCGTGAGCAAGGGAAAGTTTTTCACGATTATGTCATCGTGCCACTAAACCTGAAGGGTACTAGCGTTCATAGTCAACCCGTGCAATTCATCCCAACTTCTGCCAGTTCACGCGGCATGTCCAGCGCCCGCCAATCACAATTGTGCGCAGATGGCGTGCCCAGGGCCATGGATTGGCCGCCGGCTTCGCTTGCAGCTTGCAGAGGTTTGGCATGCTGGATTGACGTGACGCTAGTGTTTATGTGGCATCCCGTGGATATCCAAGCCGTGCGTGTAGAGTCAAGCGATGTGAAATCATCAACTTCATTTCTTCCTCTAATTCTCTCATCGCCTATTCTTAGCTCCGGATCTGGAATCGCGACAGCGACTTCAACATGGTGACTGCCCAGCAAGACGAAAAAGCGACGGCGTTATCTCCTCGCCATGACGCCGAAACAGCCTTGGACGCGACGTCCACCGACAAAGATATAGCAATCAACCTCGTCGGCGAACGCGCCCAAGACATTGACTCTACGGTCGAAGCAAAAGTTCTCCGGAAGATAGACTGGTTTCTCATCCCCGCAATGATCGTTGGTATGTTCATCTCACCATCACCACTACCACCAGCCTCATCCATTCCATCCATCTCAAATTCCAAATCATCGCATTTCATCATTCTAACATCCATCCCCCAGGCTATGGTCTAGTATACTACGACAAAGCTATCCTCGGTTCTGCCGCCCTCTTCGGCATGACAACCGACCTACATCTCACCCAAACCCTCTCCCCCGCTACATCGACTTCCCCAGCAGTAATCTCTACGACGCGTCTCTCATGGGCTACCTCGTTATTTTACTTCGGCATGCTCGCAGGGCTTTACCCACTTACTTTTGCTTTGCAACGCTTCAACCTTGGCCGCATACTCGGCGCCGTCGTCTTACTCTGGAGTCTGATCTGCATGTTGACAGCCGCTGTTACGGACTACAGAGGATTGTATGTCCAACGTTTCTTCCTCGGTTTCGTGGAAAGTATCATACCAACGGGCTTCATGACAATAGTAAGCAGCTACTACACGCAGCGCGAACAATCCGTGCGACAAAGCTGGTGGTTCAGCAGCACAGGTCTCTTCACCATCATCGGCGGCGCGCTGAACTACGGGTTTGCACAAATCATATCCGGTGCGTTGAGACGCTGGCAGTACATCTACCTCCTCGCCGGCTGTCTGACCTTCCTCTTCGGATGCTTCTGCTTCTTTGTCCCAAACTCATGCGCCGAAGCCTGGTTCCTTACGAAGAGCGAACGCGTTGTTGCTGTTGAGCGACTGAGGAAGGGTGCGACAGGTGTGCGGTGCCAGAAGATTAAGATGTATCAACTCAGGGAGTGCGTCACGGATGTGAAGTTCTACCTCGTCTTCCTGCTCATGGGGTCAGCGTACACCGTCAACGGTGCGGTATCTGGTTTCGGGCCGCTTATCGTAAACACATTCGGCTGGTCACCTCTCGCATCCATACTCTGGCAATTTCCCCTCGGATTTATTTGTCTTGTTACCATTCTCCTCTGCGGCTGGTTGTCCTCGCGCATACCCAACATCCGAATCATTCTTCTCATCGTAAACTGCCTCCCCGTCATCGCAGGCTGCGCCATGATCTGGAAGTCGGAGTGGACGTATCATGCGCCCACGCCTGTCGCGGGCTACAGCATCATCGGCACTTTTGGCGCAGTAGTCAGCCAGACAATCGTCATAGCCATGTCCAACGTCAGTGGCGCAACGAAGAAGAGCGCCATGGCCGGCACGGTCTTCGTAGCATACTGCGTTGGCAACATCGTCGGTCCACTGCTTATCAGGAGCCAAGAGAAGGGTGCACATTATCCTAGGTTGTGGACGGGTCTAATCATCTGTTACTGTATCACGATCACGTCCGCGATGGCGCTATATGCCGTGTTGCAGAGGGAGAACAAGAGGAGAGAGACGATGAGTGTGGATGAGGAAGAAAGGGATAAGATGGCGTTTATGGATTTGACGGATGGCGAAAATATGTATTTTAGATATGTGTTGTAGGGTGTCATGGCTGTCCGCATCGAAACCTCGAGGCTTGTTGGTTTGACCTTCTGGTTACCCAGCCGCCCGAGCTGACTGTCAGCTGTTGTATGTTTTTAGCATTTGAACCGGATTTTTTGCCAGTACTCGCGAACTATGTGTTAGTGGGAGAGAGAGGTGGATGGACAAGTGTGTGCGTAGATGCGCGGTGATTGCGGCTTGCGAGCTAGTCTTCTGTATTTTTGCAACACTATTTCTCAGCTTAGTACGCGTGATGGCAAGCGACGGTGAGACAATTGAGATAGGGAAGGGAGGATACGTTACGTTGCGATGTAGCGTCCTGTAGACAGGTCTTGATTCTTAACACTTATTCGTGAAACCATTGTATTGTCATCACGACAGGTTACATCACAAACCATCAAGGCATGGCCAACTATCACAGCGAACACATCAGCATCAAGTCTACGCAGTAATCATTACAACTATAAACCACCGGCCAGCAAGTATATCCATTCCACAGCCACAAGACCACTTCAAACATCAAAGTAGTCACAGTGGTATAAACGCCTAGTTCCAATGTTATGATTGGGAAGTTGAAGGCCCCGAAGGCCCCGAAGGGGAGAGAAAGAAGAAGTGAGTGTACAAAAAAGGGTGGATGGGAATGAATCTATTATTCTCCTTGGCAAGAAAGAAAAGCTATAACAGCTTTTTGCTTTGCCTTACAAGACTTTTGGTGCTACATGATTGGGTTGGAGAGGGTGCTGTGCGATTCGGGTTCGACGGGGGGATGCGCATTGGTGCTGGGGTCGGGAGTCGCGGGGTCGGGGTGCTGGATTCGTTTCGTGTCGACTTCAGGCAATATCGGGATGGCCGCAGCCACCTGGAATCTTTTCCATGGGTGGACGATAGGTTGAGACACCGTTAACCAATTCCCAATACCCAAATGCAAGGAAACGACCGTTTTGCGTCGAGGCGACTCCGCCTCCTCCGAATTGGGACGTATGCGACGACGTTGCTCTATCAAGGATTTCCGGGTAACTGCGAGGGACGTAGACCGATGACCCAGGGGGAGCGAAGTTCCGTGCGCGACGACATTCTTCGAACGGATGGGCTCCGTACTGTGCTTCGAGGTGCTGGGATACGCGAGGGGGAGCTAGAACCTATGTTTTAGCCACATGCTAGACGGTACCTCCAGAGAGGTTATCCAACATCTTGGCCAACACAAGGTTCAAGCAGTGCTGGGGGAGGGAACGGGTATCAAGACAATCAAGCCATTACGCCTTGGTTGCCGCCTGGGAAGGGGAAGTCAGTGGGCTGGAGTATATATATAAGGTGGGGATGTCGATTTCACTAGAGAGGAGCAGGGCGGAGGTAGGGGTTGTAGCCGAGCGACGTACCGACTTGACGCTTGATCTGTTCACGTGCCCATCGAGCAGTGTCTCGGGTTCGGCCGCTGAAGTCTTGGTTTGCGCGTGTCTCCCTCGCCATTGCGGTGAGGAACTCGTGACGGAAGTACTCCCGGAAGTCACCAGCTGGGAACGCATCCGCGAGGTCACTGAAAAATGTTAGTGGGATATGTTGGGAGAGGGACGCCTGTACATACCCGATAACACCGCACGAAGATCGGAGGAGAGCCTCAGTGCGGTTGCTGTCTGCTTGGATAGTGCGGAGAAGGTCGAAGATGGAGTCAAGGTATGGGACGATGAGTTGAGCTGTAGTTGTTAGTGTGTGATCAACGTCTTAGATTACAAAACTTACTCTTGTTGCTGCTCTTCATGGCAACGATACATCCATCCCAGGCATCCATGATACCCTCACGGAGGGAGGTGATGTAGTCGATCATCTCGTAGTTGCCCTCAGTGGTCAATGTGACTTGTCCAGCTTGTTGAAGCACTTGGGCAACAACGGTTAGGTAAGTCTCGAACGCGCCGTGGATGGCATGTGCGATGTCACCGAAGCATTGCAGGATAGCTGGCTTGAGCTGGTTGCCAAGTTGAGGGCTGCGCAGGTTGTGAAGAAGAGAGTTCATGAACGCATCGCAGAATGGCTGGACGTTCTCGCCCAGAGATCGGGTGATATCGGAAACCAGTCCGATGGCCATGGAGCAGAGTGCGGGCTCTTCCTGGTTGTTGAGGGCGTTGTAAAGGAATGGCGAGAAAGCCTCCATGTACTTCTGGAAGTCCTCCTCGAGAGCCGTCGCGATCGAACCAATGGCGGCAAAGACAGTGTCTGGAACACTGGACTTGGGAGGCAGAGACGAAAGCAGACTCAGCAGCGCCTGCATGATGCGGTCGGCCTGGGGCCTGATGTCGCTCTCCATGCGCTGGATGATGGCCATGATAACACTAGCCAAGCTAGTCTGCATCTCTTCGAGAGTCAGCTTATCCTCAACGTTGACAACCTGCGATTGGAGTGCCATGGACTTCTCCAGACGCTCCAGAATGACGTTGGCGAGCTCGTTGACCAGGGGAACGCTGTCACCAGCGGCGTTGTTGACGAAAGAGTTGAGTACTTCGTATGCGGCTGTGCGGAGAGTGTTGTCGGCATCAGCGCGCTCGGTGACCTGCAAGAGGCTCTGCACGCTCTGGGCGAAGTGGGGCGACAATGGGTTGGTTGTGCAACCGGGCTCTCCGGCGAACCTGTCAGCCAAGTTCATCAGCGACCAACAGCACGATGCGGCCATCTTAGGGTTGCTGGCGAGACCGTTGAAGAGAGCTCCGATCAGGGGAGGCAGGTGCTGCTGTGCGTCGAGTGCGCTGGGAACAGCCTCGCAGATGCGGCCCAAGGCGTATGCGGCAGAGTCCTTGACGTGGATGTTCTGGTCGTCCATCATTCCAATCAAAGTAGGCAGAGCTTGCTTGACAATGGGGTCTAGCACACTCTCCTCGGGACCCTCCATGATGGCACCGAAGGCGGAGACGGACGCATCACGGTAGTGCCAGTCTTCTGAGCGGATGTACTTCTCGATGAAAGCAAGGACTGGAGGCATAACGCCGCTACCGACACACTGTGCCCAGAGCTGCAGACATTGGTATGCTGCGCGGGAGGTGTTGTACTCGTTGTCGTCGGCATCCTCGTCTTGCTTGGCGAGAAGCTCGAGAAGCACTGGCACGACCTCTTGTGTAGCAACTCGGGCAAAGTTGAAGTATTCGCGGAGTTCGGTGGAGCCCTCGGCTTGGGCTTGGCTGTTGTCGTCCTCGATAGCGATTTCCTCCTCACAGACGGTGCACCAGAACTCGACAGCCAGCTTGGCAACATCTTCTTCCTCGCTCTTCATACCTTGGATGGTAAGACCAAAGAGCGCCTTCTCCATGTAGAAGCGCATCTTGTCGTAGTACAGACCCATGATGCGGTTGAGACATCCGTACGAGCCCTGCTGGATGCGGCTGTCGTCCGCTTGTGTGGCTTCGCAGATGACCTGCATGATGTAGTTGCGCTCGCCCTCATTGTCGAAGTTGGAGCGTACAAACTCGATCGAGTCGCTGAGCGCGTTGATGGCGGCTACGCGGACGTCGTTGTTGGCCTCCTCCTTGCGGGCACCCTGGACGACAGCCGTCAGGATAGCGTTGGAGTGCTGTGCTAGCGCGTCCCTCAACTCTACATCGTCTGTGTCACACACGAAACCGATTGTGGTAAGCGAAGATTGCTTTTGGGCGTCGCTGCCCTGACCGACACTCTCGACGAGCGAGGTCATGAGCTCCGGCCATTGATTGCGGGGTATCTCGATAGCAGCCACGGAGGCGATGAACTGTGCGGCGGCGGAGCCTACATTCTTGTTGGGTGTGGCCAGAGTCCGCAGGGCCATGTCCTTGACCTGCTGCTTGATCTGGGTGTCGAGGCTGAGCCATCGTTCTTGGACCTGACGTAACCGGGCATACTCGCGAGCGGTGAAGGCGTTCTTCAGGGCCAGGGCGGCGGCCTGTCGGATCTGGGGCGCGGCTTGTTCATTTGCGAGTTCGCCGCCGAGGACGGTGAGGTATTGAGGCTGCGGATAGACGTTAGTGGATATGTTCTGGCTATGTCTCGGGGGGCATGCAGCCTTCTGGCAGCGGGGGACTCACAAAGTCGGAGTCGGCAGCCTGGATGAGCTGTTGCTCGGCGCTGTTACGGATGCTAGCGTCTGCAGAAGGGTCAGTCGAGCTTCTAGAAAAGTGCGGGTCTCAGCAAAGGCAGCATACCGGCGGAGTAGGTCCCCTCCAACACCTGGTTGATATCCATGACTGCTGAAGGGTGCTTCAAAGATTCAGGCGGGGTATCTGGCGGTGGGAAGAATTAAAGGGCCGCGGTGGCGGGAGAAGCAGAAGGTGGTGCGGCAGGAAGGCAGGGAGTGGTGAGGTTGCGGAGGGCGTCCGTCGTAGGGAGGGAATTTGAAGCGAAAGAAGGTCGAGCGTAGACAGGCCTAGTTCACGTGTTGTTTTCCTCCTAAAGGGTCTGCCCCACTAACAGTGCGGACTTTGGTGCAAGGAGACGGGCGTAAGGACAGCCAGTCAAAGAGCAGCAAGCAACAGGCAAACACGGCGTTTGACAGTGAGACGGCGTCGTGAGGGCGAGGGTGAGAGGAGAAATTTATTCTTCCGCTGCTTCAGGCACCGTCGATGGGTTCGTTGGAGGAAGGAGCGGCGCCCGCCTGGCAACGGCGCATTGGCTCGCTTGCGCATCGTGCTTTCCCCCCCAGATTGAGCTCGCCCTCCCGCATGCAGCCCTGTGAGAGCCATGACACTGAACGAGGGTCCTACCGTCCTGCACAGACACTGCATAGAGTTATGACATCCAGCCTAGTCGTTGTGCACCTTGAGTTCTTAATACTGTTACATCGCGTCGCCGTGGTTCTGTCTGGAAGCCAAGCCAAGCGTCTACCTGCAGCCCGTCAATCACCTCGAGGCTATTGGACGATACACGCGCATCATGACGAATCGCATCGATGCAGAACTCTAGTACGCGAACATCATCATCTTGGAAGTTCCCAGTCATCGCGGCAGCCTACATCGTGTATGTCCTTAAGGTAGTTGGTAGCGACGGCA